GGGACATTGAACATAAAAGCCTCCAGATGGCATGAGGATGAGCATTAAATCCTAACGATCTGGGGTGTGTTGTTAGTCAACGAAAGGATTATTAATCTGCGTGCTATGCGACTTTCAAAATATCACGGTATGAACATCTGTTAGATGGTTGGGAAAAAAACTTCTGCAGACTGCTGCGGCAGTAGTAGTATTGCACAATGTGGGCTGGGGCTTGTTGTTGCAAGAGTTTAGTTGATATGGGACGCTTTCAAGCAATTTGGAGGAGGTGTCTGCACTATTCTTAAAATCATAGTAACTCCCTCGTGCCTTCATAGGGCGGGACAGTTAGAGAAGAGTAAATCTTGGAAGAAATGTGTAATCTGTGAAACACTGAAACATTTCCTGGTGGCTACAGTTAAAACCACTAGAGGGCACTCCAGTCCAACAGAGAACTCAACCTCTTTCAAGGCGCCTGGCAACAGACCAAAGTGACATTGGTCAAATTCTGCATCGACAATTCAAATTTTACGTTTGTACATAGCATTGCCCCCGTCTCGCTGAAACCAACTGCTGCCTCTATTCACTACAACAAAGACAAATACGACTCCTACTTAGGAATCTCCATCATGAATTCTTCTCATTTGCAGCCAATTTTATTTTATGAAGATTTTCTGCTTACTGTTGCAAAGGATGCTGGTGGTTTCAAACAGGCTATATAATGTAGGTGTGAATGTGAGCGCTTTGCTGGGAGACGACCCAATGCAAAGCCGTTGTCTGAAGGTATTCATATGCCTTGCTACACTTTAGAACTGTTTTTTTGTTTTTTTGTTTTTGCCTCTACAAAATATTCATTTTGGAATGAACTGTTAAATATTCATAATGCCCCAAGACAGTTCATTCCTAAATGATTGATTAACAGAATTAGATCTGTTTGGTCTATCAGTGCTTTCTGCATCTGATCATGAAAGGAACCTACCTTTGTTCTTAGTATTGTATACATACTCGGCAGTGCTAATCTGAGGCCGGTCAGATTCACTGCATGTATGACATTCTGCTGATAGCTCCCCCAGGGAAGTGGCAGCAGGGATGAAGGTGGCCCAATGAAGCAGAGGTTAAGGCCCAGATCCTCCACTGGGGTAGATCCGCACTGATCCACCCCAGCTGACAATCCCTCTTAGTTGCCATATTTAATTATGGACAGAATTCTCTTAGGCTTTGTTCTTTTAAAAGTCTCCAGTCTGTTCTATTTGAAATGTTTTCAGTCTACAACAATTAATGGATTACAACAGCAAATCAATGTTGCCAAATTCAGACAACGTTGTTTATGCAGTTATTGACTATCAGTACCATTCCCCTTTACAGTCTTTGATACGGTGAGATCTGACAACGCCTTGCCAGCTCAGTTCCTAGATAGGAAACCTGAAAGGAACATCCAGCTGCTGCAGGAAGTGTTTTTAACCCAAATTATATTTTGAAAACTAAGCACTATATGAATTAGGCCAGATTATGTTCCCTTGTTTAAATCTGGTGTAAATTCATTTAGCTCGGTGGAAATATTCCAGATTTAAACTGGTATAACAGATAAGAATGTGGCTGCCCTACATGTCTTTTCTTTGGCAATAAAACCAGAGATGTACTGCAAAGACAAATAATTCAAAACAGAACATCATTTGGGAGCCCTTTTATTTAACATATGCTATAAGGGTTTTAAAGACATTTATTCTCTATGGTAGCAGCATTTTTAAATGTTCAGTTTGGTTCCAGTAACCAAGTTAACCCTTGAGAGCAGAATATGTTTCAAGTAACTGTGTGCACATAAATATATCATTCTGCAGGAAGATCAAATAATGTAGAAGTAATTATTTAACTAAATTCATTAAAAAGAATATCAAGGATCCAATTGTTATTTTAGCACAAGAACAGGTCACATTATGATTGGCTGGGGGTTGTCATGTGATAAAGCAGCACATTTCCTTCTTCTAGCTACGAGTTACATGCAGGTCACAATAGTCCAAAATATTTGGCCTACATTATTAGAGGTGGCTAGTAATTTTGGGTGCCCAGCTTGACACATTTGGAAAGAGCCTGATTTTCAGAGGGCATTTGCTCAGTAACTCTGAAAAGCAAGCACCTCTACGGTGTCTCAAGTTGGAGCTCAAAAACTGAAGCACCCTAAATCACTAGTAGCTTTTGAAAATGTAGGCCTGCCTACATAACTCCCCATGTGTCAGGATGGCACTATATCTTTTAATGGCCACCCTGTCTGATATCAATGTATTTGTTTAGCTTATATCACTGATATAAAATCAGCTTATCATAAATTTTTGGAACCCCAAGATGTCTCTGGGCTTGATTTATGTAGCTGAGAGGTGTGTTCCAGGCAGGATTTAAATTCTCAGAGATTATTTCCCAGAGCTCCCCATGCCCCACCCCCATTTGGGGCTCCAGGCTTCAGCTAAGGGTGTGTGTCTCGGAGCTTGAGGATTGCCGGGACTGGGGGCTTTAGCCCCACAGGGGGAGGGAGGAGAGCAGGGGCTCCCACAGGTTTGAAAGTATTTACTGGAGCAACACTTCAGATAGCTCCATCTGAATTTAAGCCCTGGTTCCAGGGCTAAAGTGTTGGCCCCGCTGAAGTCAATAGGATATTTGCCGTTGACAAGAATGGGGCCAGGATTTCACCCCAGGTTAATAGGAGTGTCTTAAAGGTGGGCTGCAGCAGGAAAGGGGAGGATTAGGTTTGTGCCCTTAGTTGTTCTTTATGATCTATAAAGGAGGCCTGAAAGATTTGTTTTAGGGGGGGTTAAGTGGCAGGAGGAGAAGAGACATTTTGTTTGTTTTTTTAGCAGAAACATCAGGACTATTAAGTCTCTTCATTCCTCTTTTTGCTGCAGGACTCCTTGTGGCACCAGAGAACTGAAATGGGTGTATTCTCAGTGATCAGTTAAAGCTGAACTTTTCACAAAGTAATCATTTACCCCAGCTGTTTGCTGTACCTTTGAGTTATAACGCTTAACCAGACAAACTGCCAAGGGATTTCTTATAGTCTGAGAGAGGAAGAGATTTCTCATCAATTGCTCAGGCTTCCCTCTTGTTATTGTGATATCAAAATCCCACTAGTTAACAACTCATCCATAGTCTTCTATGAAAAACAGGGTAGACAAGACCTGGATGTCTAATGTAAAAAACAAACCTAAAGAAAGGTAGTGTCTTGGTTCCCTTTGAGGGGAGATTACCAGTCTGAGTGAGAAGCTGCAACAGAATACAGCACCTGTCAACTTTTCAGAATTAAAAAGGGGACAGTGTATTATACAGCATCCAACTAGAATGCGGTCAAACAAATGGAGGCAGAATGGCTCAAAGGACCAGAGAGAAAAGTGTTCTGCAGTGCTCTGGTACCAAAAAGGAAACATGTTGGCAACATTCACAAAGCAGGTTCTAGGGGGTACCCCATATTGTATGATCACAGCCTCTGGCAGCTGTGAGGCACAGGTCCCATACCTACTGCTGTAGTTAGCAGCCTAAGTCTATCTATTGGTCCCTCCTCCTGTTTTCCTGTGTGAGTGTCTTGGGAGTGAGAAAAAAAACTCCAGCCCCCCTCTTATTCTGCTAGCATATTCATGCAAGAAAAGTAATACATTTAGCCCTGTAGGTATCAATGAAAATGAAAGACACTGGAAATTGGGCCCGTTATGTATTCAAGAGGCATTTCCAATGTCTTTCAGTAAAGACAAATACAGGGCTTTCTTGCTGCTATTCATTTTTACTGAAAGAAACTGGAAATAGGTATAAAAACACAATGAGCACAATTTCTTTCAGCAAAGCTGAATATAAAGCCATTCTGATTTGACAGTGTTTTACACACTTGCACTGGGATATAAGACTGTGCATGGTGCTAAGTGTTCTGTTCCAAGTTTGTACTACCTCAAATACCAAAAAAAGGATGTTACTACAGCTCATAATATAGATGTGAAAATTGTTAGAAGCTGCACATAGACATATTTGATAGCAGGTGTTATATTAAAATCATAATTCGCCTTCACGGGGCTGGTGCCCCAAATGAGTTTATGATGCCCAGCATCACGAGTTTCAAAATGGAGGTAGCATTCAGTCAGCCTAACAAACGGAAAGATTTAGGGAATTGCTTTACTCCAAAGAAAATATGTCAGTAGCTGTACATATAGGATTGGTTGGCAGTCTGATCCTAGTGTTCCAACTTCAGGATCAGACCTGCGTTTGTTATTAATGTCACCAGTGTAAACACTGGAAGTCAGAGCCATGGAATTTTGCTTGTGTGTGGTTAAACTATATAGGTAGTTACACAGTTTCAATGGACAAACGTCATTGTAAATATGTAAGAAACAGAGTGACTTCTTTTTCTGGGAGACAAATGGTCCCACAGCACACTTGCACCTGTCAGTGCCCCTTAATTGCCCTTTGCCCTGTGCAGTCGCTTGTTCAGAGTGCTTCTAAAGAACGCCCTGGTTCTAACTTCTTTTCCGTATGTTGGTGTTTTTTTTTCATTGCAGCCTATCCCAATATTGACTTAGGAAAGAGGAAAGTTAAAAGTAACTTGCTCTGTTATGGTCTACAGCCCACTGCACAGCTTTGCTTTAGGATCTTGAATGGCAAACATTAGCTTAAACCATTATTAGCATCTAAATAGAGATAAAGGTCAGAGGAGGAAAACTGGGTGAGGCAGTCACCTTGTGTACATACCACTCCATCAATTACTTTGAAACAGAGAGTAGAAGCCGGATGACGCTGGATGCCTTTTAAGTCTCTCTCCGCAACGTAGGTTATTCTGCATGAGAGATGCGGCAAACTCACTTTTCGCAAATGTGTCAGGTCTCAGGGGTACTGTAGCTGTAATCACTGGATACCAAATATCAGGGGGTAGCCGTGTTAGTCTGTATCCACAAAAACAACAAGGAGTCTGATAAAAAAATCCACTTCTTCAGACCCATGAAAGCTTATGCCCAAATAAATCTGTTAGTCTTTAAGGTGCCACCAGACTCCTTGTTGGATACCAAATAGGGATGCTGATGCTAGGGCTAGTCCAGCTCTTTTCAGAGCTCTCTTCCCTTCCTCTGACACCCATTATGCCATCCTCACCCCCCACAGCTGCCCACCCTGGTCCACAAGTCCCTGAGCAAGAGGTAGCATATGGGGAATATCAGGGCGTTGGAGATGGTAATGGGAAGGAGCCAATATGTAAACGGGAGGGAAAGGGGCTAGCTGCGGTGGGTGGCACAGTTCTGAAGGTCAGTAAACTTGGGCTTTGTCAGACCACCAGAGAGAGAGTGTTTCACAGCTGGAAGCACTCAAACAAGGAGCCCTCCACTAAGAATATCCTATCTCTAACCTCCAAGAGTGCACATCTGGAACTGTCAGCAACGGCATCTCAGACTAGCTCGTTATTACAAAGTTACATAAGGCCAGAGCCAGATGGGAAGAGTTGTTCCAAGCGATGCTGGCATACCGAAATTAAACCAACTGCTTGATTTGGACCCAGAAGCAGATGGGAAACCAGTCAAGCACATGGAGCATAGGTATAATGTGCTCGTGGTAACCCACTCTACTGAGCTCTCCAGTTTGTACTCTCTAGAGCTTCTGAGTTGTCTTCAAGGGTAGCACCAAGATTTACTGCAGTAGTCAGGCCCAGATGTGGCAAACATGAATGATTATGGAAAGGTCTCCTTTCAGCAAGGAAAAGAACATATCAAAACCCTGAGCTGCCCATAGAGGTGAAAAGATGGCAAGAGCCAGTGCTTCAACCTAGGATTCCAAGCCCTTAGTGGGTTCAAAAATACCCTGAGACTCTGGGCTTTTTTGGCAGGGAATATATGTCAGCACAAAACAGGACCATAACAGGGCTCTTCAGTTGCGTTAGCCTGAACCCTGCCTAGACATACAGAGGTAGCTTTGTTAAGTTTCTGCGAGGCTAGATAAGCACCAGTCCTGGAGTTGGAGTGTCATTCTGGGGGCAGACAGAGAGGTATTATATGGAAGCACTAGAACCAGCCAAGGGAAGCACTAGGACCAGCCAAAGAGAAAACTTAGGTTTATATTTCTACTTTTTGACAGCCTAGGAAGGGGGTAAGTCTGGACTATACCCATGTATCTATTCTCTTTGCATCAGAGTGGGAATGCCATTGGTTTACATGTGATGTCAGGAGCTGGATCAGCTAGCCTCTGCACAACTGAGGAAAATGGGAGCGATCCGGCACTGGAGGACAGAACGGCAGAAACAGCAGCTGGGGCAGGAGCACCATCAAGCCCAGGCTGCAGCCCAACAGCAACAGCAGGAAGAGTTCCAGGAAAGGCAGCAGATCCAGGCTGGAGCACAATAGCAGCAGCAGCATTCCTAGAAGCAGCTGTTTTCCAGACTATTTAATCCAAGTGCACCATTCCTATCCAAGAACAGACCGGAAGATGACCCAGCAACTTATTTGATGGCTTTCAAATGGGTAGGTACTGCTGCTCAGTGGGAGAAAGTCTTGGACTACATCATTGGCCCTTATTCTGATGGAAGTGGTACGAGTGGTGTATTAGGGCCTGGATGAGGATGCAGTTACAGATTATAAACCATGAAAACTGCTGTTTTGGAGCAGTTGAGAGTCTCTGTGGAGCAGTACTGACTCTTTCCAGGTAAGCCCTATTCTTGTGTATGCTTGACATGTGATGGAGTGGCCAACTGCTTGACTCAAGCCCAAGATCCAGGTAGTGGGGAAACTAATGGATATGATGGAGCAGTATGCCTGGGAAGGCGCAGACTTCATGAAGTAGCAACAGCCATCTACACTGGCAGCAGCTATGCAACAAACCAAACTGAGGCTGACTCTCCAAAAAGACTGCCATTAGCTACCATTTAGAATGGAAGAATAATCAAATAGACAGATGGATGAACCATTGTGCAGAAGTATGAAGTGACTGGGGACCCCAAGAAAGTTCACAGAGACTTTAGGGGAGAGCCACTAGCAGCCCCATATGTTTTGCTTGTCGTAAACAGGGCCACATGCAAAGATTCTGCTTCTTGATGGAGCATGGATTATAGGGAGATGTGATGTCTTGCTTAGGACATGGGATACGGGGAACCCAAGGGATGTTCTGTGCTTGTGTATCTGAGAAGGTGGAATGGATCTGGCCATTGGAGTATGTCCAGAGGTGGTCAAGAATAGAGATGGAAAAACAATTTCACAAACAATTTTGAAATGTCAAAGTTGTTTCTGGTTCACAGGGTTCAATATTCTGTATCGTTTGTTTTAAATTTGCTGTTTGTTTAAAACAAACATTTTAATTTCTATTGCATTCAGTGGTGAAAAGAAATAATGTGGAAAGCAAGAGAAAGGGAGAAAGGGGGAGGGAAATCAAAAAACCTGAAGAGTGGAAATTGTTTTAAAAATGAATTTTTTGCTTTTGATGAAAAAGTAGAAAATTTTGAAGAAAAAAAAAAGCTTTTCGTGGAAGCTTGTTGTTTCAAAGAGAGGCCAATTTTAATAAAAAAAAAAGTTTCATGTGAAAATTTTTGACCAGATCTAGTGCCTAAGCAATGGTGTATGAGGGCTTGCTCAGAATGAAGCTACTGCAGAAAGCATAACCAGGGACTCCTGGACGTATTCCTTGGGTGTAACCCTATATGAGTCGTGGTCTTATGGTCCCTCTCCACATGGGATAACTCATTCACTACCCTGGATAATTCTGTTGGGGAGGGAGTGGGAGAACTTTTGTACCCTTCTGAGCTCCAGAAGTTACTTAGGGGGTCATGGAACCTATTCCTGACCACAAAAGGAAATGCCACGCAAAACAACAGATTTTCTGGTAGCAACATAGAATTTTTGGCACTGGATCCCCTAGTGTTATGCAGAAGAGAAACAAGGATGGCATCCATGGGTGTTACTCTGGGAGGGAGGTATTTAATAGGGTGGCAGATTCTAGGACTTTGCATTGGGTTGAAAGGATCTTCTGTTGAGCTGTCATAATGTCAGGACCTTGAACCCTGCATACAGATAAAGAGGTGTTTTTGCTGAGTCACTCCAAGGTTAAATCAGGTGAGTCCAGTTAGAGGCAATCCAAGAGCATGAGATGGGTTTGAGACTCTCTCAAGCAGAGGGAACTAGGGCCAGTTGCAATAGCCAAGCACAGTGAGAAAGCATAGGCAGATATTAAAGTTTTCTTTTTGTTATTTAAATTAATAAAGGCAAAGGTATAAATTTAGACTATATTCAGTATATTACCCAGGGTCCCAGCCATATCATACACAGACACAACTGAAAGATACACTCATTAGAAACAGAGCAGGATTTTACTTCGAAAGTGAAATGCATCAATTAATGTTTGTAGCCAACTCTGTGTAGAAAAATACATCAAGGGTCTGAGTCTTCTCTCAGTTACATTGGTATAAATAAGGAATAATTCTGTTGAAATCCAAGGAATTACATCAGGAAGAGTTAGTTAAGTGAGAAGAGAATCAGATCTTAAATGTCAGAGCATTTTCTCCCAGGCTACAGTAATCACATATGGTATCTTTTTACATTTGATTATTAAAAATTGGCAGGACATTTCAGCAATAAAACAGGGACTGAAACATCTGCAAGGACAACATGAGGTATAACACACATTATGCACCATGAGCTATCAAATGTCTGAGCACATAACATGTCCAAAAGGTCAGGTTTGGGGAATAGTTAGTAATGTTCTCATCACACTTTTCTAGGCTCATGTGTTAGGAGTATAAATGGAAAGGAAACAGCTGTTTTTGGGAAAGAGCGAGAATTTTGTTTGGGAAAGGTACAAAAAAAAGAGAGCCAATTTTGTCTGATTCCATTTGAAGCATGACCCATTCAGCCAGACTGTGTAGGACGCTTTGATTTGAGAATGTATATGTTATATATATTTTGTGAGGGAGAAAAGGAGACAAGGAAAGCATAAACAGTACAGCCCAAAATTCCAGGAAGTGAAACACAACAACCTCATCTCATAGTAAAAACAAGGAGATGCTCTTTGGGATATATCTTAAATCTCAAAGTGTTTCCTATCTCTCAGAACTAGGACCATTAGCTCAGATTCTTCAGATCCCGTGACATGATATGTTTATCACCATGTTTTAAACAGATATTTACAATGATCTTATGCATTCAGTCCAAAATCAGGAGCAGCCTCCACAGGTTCAGAAGCTCCTCAGCAAGGAAAACCTGTGTGGTTCCATTGCATGGGTTTGGTGGGACAATGGCTCCACATGGTCTCCACATGGTCCCCCTACATGGGAATGCACAGGGAGCATGGCTGGGAATCCTTTTCTGCTTGCATCTTCCCTTCTTGCCCCACAAGGGCCTTGTGAGCCTACTCCATACACTGCACACATGTAGGCTCCATGTAGTAGCTCCACAGCCTGGAGTGAGGGTGTGGTGGGGAGGTGCTTTATGTAACAGATTTGTTAATTCTTCTGAGTGTGCACAACTATAATATTCATAGGGCAGGACTGAAGAAAATCCTGGCCTATATGGCTATCAAATATATATATCACATGCTATAGAAATACTCATCAATAAATATAAAACATTGTGGCCTGGAGTAGACACGCCATGCATGGACTGTCACCCTCTCATGTGTATGTGGGGGTTCAGCTACCTCTGTGACTACCTGTTCCTTTTCTCTAGACCTTACAGAAGATGCTTCATGGCCCAGGGTCTATACAGAGGAGAAAACAGGGACTAGGGGTAGGAGGAAGTAGTGGACTGACTAGGGGAAGGACAATGCACACAACCTCCAACTCCAGTCAGTAAAGATAACACAGCTTGAAGTTGTGTGGTCCTTCTGGCAGAGCACTCCCACTAGCATGCCAGAGGCAGCCATGGCCAGGAGAGTCTCCAAGAGCACAGCTGCCATTGAACTATACTGCTAAGGAACCAGGGAAGAAGGGCTGCTGAGAATCAGAGCTGGTGCAGAAGGACATAGTCAACACACAGATGGCCCTGAGGCTCCCCTGAGACCTGCCAGTTTGGGGGTGAGACCTCAGCCTTCTTTTTTGAAGAGGGGTACAAACCTCACCCATCACCCCCTCCTGCCCCCAACAGAATAGTGTGTGGAACTTTCCATGAGGTGATCTGCACTGATATATCCTCCCCCTGAGCCATCTGCCTAGGATTTCAAACTGGTCTGACATTATCTAGCTATTTCCTATCTTTTAGTAAAGTAACTGCTGCAAATATGCTGTATTCTATGGAATGCATCATGCTAGCAACATCTGAAGCTCCTCACACAGCAGTCTCATAAAAGGATTATACACAAGATCTGGTGGAAAGGCTGGGTTTGCTGTTATCATGGAGAGGAACAAGGCAGATAAAGAAAGTTACACAAGTTCCAGGCCACTGTTAAAGCTAGAAGGTCTGATCCTGATGCCCATGGAAGATGCTAAAAAGACTCCAGAGGGTCTTCAGAGAGTTTTGGATCCTTAGTCCTTACACCATTTTATGCTGATGTAACTGCTTTGGGCCTGACTCTCCACTTCCTTATACCATTTTGACTTCAGTGGAATCACACCAGCTTAAAACTGGTGTAGCTGAATGGAGAACCCGTTGTATTGTCTTCAATGGAGTTACTCCTGATTTACATTGATTGAGAATCAGCCCAATGTGATTGCGCCTGCAAAGGTTTCACAAGAAACATAATAAAGGGGGAAAGATGGCATTACTCAGAGTTAATGATATTTACAGTATCTGTTTCTTGAAAAAGAGTTAACATTGGGCAGCAGTAGCATGTGCAACTACTCTTCTTTACAAAAACATTATTAAAATGGAACTAACCGCACAAGAACGAACCAGGACCCTAAGAAGCATTTAGATAAAAACTTACCCCTGTATATTAAACAGACATTCTTTCCACTAAACAAGATGTAGAAATATGTCATGCTACCTGGAGCATGGATTAATAATGTATCAGTCTTTCTAGCACACATGTTCACACAAACACACACACACACACACTTAAAATGGGCATTTTTTCCACATTCTGCACTGTGGAAGTTGTCCACAGTGAATGAAGGTTGGGGAGAAGGTGCGATAACTAATAATGGGATATTCACTAACTGCTGACAAAGATGCACAGCTCACAAAAACATTAGTTTTCCTCATTTCCTTGCCTCACAAATTCAGATCTATAAACATTGCATAGAACAGTTTGTTACTCTTTAAGGGCTTGATTCTGCTCCCACCTCAAGTCAATGGACAAACTCCCATTGACCTGAACGGTGTAAGACCAAACCCTAAAATGCCTTCACAATTGGCATTAACATAAACATAAGAACTGGTCAGAAAGTGGTAACTGTTTTTCCATTTGTTTTGGATTTGTTTCCAAAAATTTGTTGTTCTGACAAAAAAAGAAAAAAAAGACGCCCAACCCATAACAATGAAAGCCCATTTTTCCTCCAATTTTTGGTTTTATCTTCTCCCCATTCCCTCATCCCCCCCCCTTCCTTCTCTCCCCACACCTTTTATAGCTATATACCTAGGTTGTGTTTATTACTTAGTGCTACTCTGCTTTTAAGTTGTGGCTACAAATGGCTACATCCTGAGCTCTGTTGTACTAATTTACATGGAGTAGTGGGCCCAAAGAATAAAAGGTGTTAACATGACCCTGTCACTATCCAACAGGAAACAGTTTTAAACAAGGCTCGGGGTTTGCTATATAGAGATCTCAGCCTGCATAGTCCCATGGAAACACACCATTAACAATCCTTTTAACCTTTTATTGAAAGATACAGAAAAGAAAAAAAACAGTTAAAGCATTTGAAATGTAAATTATTAAATAAGGCTTTCAGTTTAACAACAACATAAGAACGGCCATACTGGGTCAGACCAAAGGTCCATCTAGCCCAGTATCCGGTCTTGTTCCCTTTAGCTGGAGAGTGTCTTTAGAAGGAAAATGCCCTTCGTTTGACAATCTCTGATGATAATAACCGTCCTTTGTGGGGAAAAGAAAAGAGGTTAGTTGAGATGGGCTGGTGCTGTTGTTAAAGTCTGATCTCATTTCCTAGAAGACAAAACAAAACAAGACAAAACACACACACACACACACACACACACACACACACGAGGGAAGAGAAAAGCACAGTGAAGAGAAAAACTGCAGCTTCTATGGTGTTGACTTTCACTTGCAATCTCCCTAGAGGTCTGCTCAGGTCTAAGGGTATGTCTACACTACGAGAGTAGTTCGATTTTACTTAAATCGAATTTTTGGAATCGATA